ATCTGCAAATGGGTTGACTTGTTACTATAATTCCTAACTTTTTCAGGGTACTTTTATGTTCTTGGTTTTCGCAGTCACTTTTGTACCACAAACTTTTACAATTTGTAGACTTTCTTTCTTCTGCACCCGACGCCACCGTGAACATATATATGATATAGTTCTGTGAACACCTCCATTTTTCTCAGAACGTAAACATTCGCTACCGTGAACATAAAGAATTAGTGAATACCTTGAGAAGACTCCTCCCTTCTGTATTCTTTGACAGTAAACCACAGAACTTTGGCTATTCTACCGCACATAGGGGCCCCCTACACTAAAATTTTGACCCCCTACGCTAAATTTCCCCCACTACGCTATAATTTTGACCCCCTACGCTAAATTTCCCCCCTTACACATACAGCATAGGGGCATTGTGACTGTATTTCTTTGTTCAAGAATGCCAGATCAAATGCGGAAAATTACCAATCAAGTACATACCTTAGAAATAACATTTTTTCCCTTTGGGTATCCTTCAAATGACCCCTTTTTCTCAAATTTTTAAAAGCAGCGCACCACAGAAGGAGGGCCCATCGACAGGCGGCCAATACCACTACGCTAAAATTACATCCTAGCTAGAACCCTGAAAAAAAAGAGTTGGAACGAATGACATGTACCTCCCGTTGCCTTGGCTATGCGCTTGAGGTCCGACTTCTTACAGCGCCTGACGGCCATGGCATCCTTCTCCATGAAGTACTTGAGACAGAGGTCGTCAATGCCGCCGGTGGTCAGCACCACGTTAGCGCCCGTGGACAGGATCTTCTCCACCCTCTCCTTGGTGATGTCCGACTCTCTGGTCGGGGAGAAGAACAAAACACTTCAGGCCACACCAATTTAATTTGTTGGTTCTCGGATTTGCCTCTTCGTTTTTTTCTGATTTGCAAAAAAAAAAATTTAGATTCTGGTCCTGAATCAACTGAAAAATGCTCATGTTTTGCCCCCCAACAGTTGAGGAAAGTCCTTTTCTTCCTAGTTGTTACAGTTTTCCCATCTATCATTGCAGTGGTTTGATTAAAAGTTCAAAATTCAATGTTTAAATTTTAACCCGGCCTTTTATGCTGACTTCATGGCTCATTTCGTAGCATTTAAGCCTATAATAGGATGCCTAGACCTGTTTTTATTTTATTTTTTTTCGCCCTGTCGCTTCATATTTTTTCTGAATAAATCCGAGAACCAACAAATTAAATTGGTGTGGCCTCAGTGTGATTATACTGTGATAAGACCTAGGAAAATTGATGCTGCGTTTTCAGTTTCAGTCCTGAAAAAAAAATGCAGTAGATTTTCTTCTTTTTAAAATTTTTTTCTAGATTTTGGCCAACATTATCAAACAAATAAATTGAACAATGCATCGGGACTGTCTGAAGGACCCATCCACCTGTTTGCTTGAAAAAAAATGCTTCTGAAAATGCCTTAAATGATGTTTCAGACTTCAGAGGGTTTATATATACATGTAAGTGTATGTGCATTATGATTTGCTGCATTGACTGTCACCACCTATCAAGTATAAAAGAAATAATGGCAGTTGATTCTGAACGGTTTTTAGTTTGATCCATACTTGTTTGATCCGTACATCCAAGTCTCAGCGGTGCAGGAAAACTTTGTCTGGTGAAGTTAATTTTCAATGTTACCTGCTCTAGTGCAAGTACATGTACATGTATGCAGAAAAAAGGATTTGAGCCCTGCAGTAACTTAGAATCCTAAACATCATTCAAGTGTTAAGGAATAGCCACATGGGCACTTGAAAAGGTGCATTTTAGTTTTACTTTCTAAGGTTTTGAACTTGACAATTTATTCTTCATCTGTAAGTGTTCCTAATATTCAGGGCTGACTGACCGTTGCCGGATGGAGTCCAGTTTCTCCGGATCGTTGATGAGGACGTGGACCCCCAGCTTCATCTTAGCCTTCTGTAGACTGAAGTCCAGGCAGGCGATCTTCGCATTGGTCACTTTCTTGGGCATGCCTGCAACAAGACCACAACAAGGATAAGCAAAATGACTGATAACAGGTGTACCTACCAACCACAAAGTATCATCTAGTACCAGCCCAGAAAAAAAGTCATGCCTTCAAATATCAAAAGTTACCAACCAAGAATTCAGGTGTTATAAAAACTATAATGTAGAGTGGAACTGGTAGCCACCAATTACAGTTGGGGCATCATCACTAAAAAGATTTAAACAACTCCTGCAGTAATACCAGTAGAGAAAACATTGGGTGTAACAGGTTGTTTGGGGAATAGTTCAGAGCAAGGGGAATTTCCCTGGTACAATGAACCTGTAAATACTGTACATAGTGTCTGTCTTCTCTGTCACGACCAGTGGGAGATTAGCTCTTCAGTGAGCTAAAACTGGGCTGAAATCACTTTGATTCACTTTCACCTAACTAAGTACTAGTGCTGCATACCGGTTCACTGGACTTGGATCCAGACTTGTAAGAATGTTTAGGTTCAAGTAAAAGAAACCTAAAAGTCCGGAACTGAACCTAAACCTCTGGACTTGAATCCGGACCTGAACCTAAAATTGGGTTTAGGTATGCATCACTAACAAGGACAAGCAAAAATATTTCAATATTCACTCCCATGTGGGTGACTAACACTAGTGTTACACAATCAATGTTAGGGGCTGATAGTCGGGCTGGCGTGTAGTGTGCATAGTCCAGTGATTAGTGCCTCTGGACCAAGAGGTTGGGAGTTTGAATCCCGGCTGATGTCGCTCACCCGATATGCACGCTACTGGACAGGGTCACAGTCCCTATGATGGGACATTAAGCTGTGGTCCACTGTTCATTGTGCTTGTGGAAAAGAGCTGGGGAATTTCCCCGGTACAATGAACCTGTAAATACTGTACATAGTGTCTGTCCTCTCTGTCACGACCAGTGGGAGATTAGCTCTTCCGTGAGACAAAACTGGGTCCTTTCAGGCACTTACCAACTTGTGCAGCGATGGTGCAGTTGAGAGCGTAACCGTTGACCAGGATGCTCTCCCGAGCGCTGCGCCCGTGGGCCTTCAGAACGTTCACCGCCTTGATGGGGATTCGAACTCCCCCCTTCCCGTCACTCATCTTCACTGCATTAGCTGCCTCCACAACCATGTTGGAAAAAAACTCTGAATCACTGAATTACTAGTCAAGGAATACCAATGGTCAATTAAAAAAAGTGACCATACCAGGGCTAGAGCCAGCGCCCGTTTTTCTGTCAAATATAGGAACGGCATGTGACAGAAAAATTAAAACAAAAAACTTAAACCAATCCAGTAACCTTCTTGACAGGCAAAATTGACACAAATCTTGGGAAAAAAACATTTAAAACTAGAGAGGCCGACATTTGCTTGGGAGCAAATAGAGCATATTTCAGTCCATCTCCCTCCCACGCAAAAGTGGACTATTCCAAACTTACCCCAGTGTAAAACTGGCAAATATTCTCAAATAAATGAATTATATAGTAGCTATGTAATTGAGAACAAAGATGCAAGAATAAGCACATTTAATCTCGAAAGCTTCACTAATCTTATTACAGGTATGCAAATACTAACAATGATGAGATTTGATACATTTTAAAGGTCTAAGGCACATAAAAAATTGTATGTGTGGGTCATTACGCACGACTTACGTGCAATGTGACCTCAGGTAACCTGCAATGGAACACGTGTTCCATGGCCAACGGCAGATGGAACGGGACATTCTTTAGATAGAACATGGAACGGGTATAGCACTTTTGGCCCTTTTTTTGCTGAAAATAGCCATTCAAGTCCCCCAAATGAGTCATTTGGAAGTGGTGTATGCCAAATATGTGACTGCTATTCTGTAGATACATGTTCAAGGTACCCTTATACCAAATTTCAGATCATTTGGTTGTAAAACCAGGGCTCAGGATCCAAAAAGTCATATTTTGGCGAAAAATGCCCCAAAAAACCTTCATAAAAATTTTTCAAAGGCATGTATCAAAAAAATGGAAAATACGCCTGGGGGTATTGGCCCACTCTACCTCCATGCCAAATTTCAAGTCATTTGGCTGAATGATGGCGGAGTTGAATCCCTTTGACTGTTTGGCAGGAGGAGAAGGAGAAGGAGGAGAAGAAGAAACATGAGAGAACACAATATATTTTATCCATACCATGGTATGGACTGAAATATAAAAAGGATCACCCAACACCATTCTCAACTCCATGATTTGCCTCTCAAAATGCGGGAAATTGAGTTTTTAACGGCTTGACAGTTAGTTATTCAATCAGGAAACACAGTTGCAAAGGTGAGTGCTAGAAAATTAAGTTCTAGTACATAGAATACAAGTTACCTGTACTATGCAATTATACAAAGAAAGTATTTCCTGAACATAGACAATCATCACACACCTATACACAAGATAATCCTTTATCACATACTTTCTTGAACAAAAGTTGGACACCTATGAAGTAAACTCAATGTTTTCATAGCCTATTCTCAGCTTCACAGTACAGTACAGTACGAACGTACAATGTAATTTGTAAAGTGATTTACAGTACAGTCAAACCTGTCTATAGTGGTCACTCAAGGGACTGGCCAAAATTGACCACTATGGCCAGGTGACCACTATAGAGAAATGGCGGTTAGTTGCCCCCGCACCCCCCCCCAAGTGACACATGCTTTCAGTACCATTGAACAAAGATGTATTTATGTCTTTATTCTCAAACATATGAAAACATTCATTGCACAGGTAAGTCTCTTTTCAAATGTAACATTACATGTTATAAATATAATTCAATTGTTGTTCTTTTGCTTTAGTTGTGGGCTTGAAAAAAATTATATATCAAAACTGCATGCACTCGACATGATACTCAGTTGATCTACTGGGACTATGAAACCTTCCCACTAAAATATACAAAATCACTGGTTGCCATTTACTGTTCTTGTATACGTGTAACATCGATGTTTACCTACAGAAAACTTGAAAGCGAATCAAGCAACAAAGTTTCTGTCGACTCCAAGCCATGTTTCTTCCGACTGCAAACTCCTTTAATCTAAGCTCCTTCGACCGATATTTCCTTCTCACTCGCTGTCAGTTGAATCACATCCACCTTGTGGAATAAGTTCGACGTCTGTCTTTCCGCTTTTGCCATCGTTTCTCCGCAATCGCCACGTTACTAGTACCGTAAGTCGAAAAGTGGAAGAGAATGACATCGCCACGTTTTTGTTCTTTGGTGAGTGCTTCGCATGACCGACATCGCCACAACGAATTCCAACCATGTAAACAAGATTTTTTGTACCAAGATGCTGTCCATTTAGTTAACAGTAAAATAATTGTTCATCTGTTGCCGTTTATGTTCCGTTTTTTGGTCATTTTTGAACATGAAAACGTAGCGAAAACTTTCCTTTGTTTACGGCTTGGGTTTCTTCCGGCGTGGGTTGTCTGCCTCTGCCATTATGCCAATGTGGTGGTCAACAAAAATAGTGCTCCTTTCAGGCTTACATATTTTGTAGAATATTCACTACAGACTTAAGTTTACGATGGAAATTAGTTTTAATAATGTATTCCAAATATCTTTGTAATGTAATCACGCCATTCGATGCTATAAAATTTAATAAAAGTCGGTACATCTACCTCCAAACCAATGGAGTCTTCCGATGACCCCAATTGACCTGATTGTTGCGAGCTGCCTGCGCCATTTTGAAAAATCACGAAACGCATTTTCTCAGCCCAAATTTCTTGAATTATGCCCGTGAAAAAGGGAAGTTGGCCACATATTTATGCTTTTCAAGGAATCGAAAATCAAATATGGATATTCGTAAGTTTTTTGTAAGGATGATTGCCGCAATCTTCGCCGAGTCCACTGAAAGCACCGCGGCACGCACGACATGGTGTTTCAGATATCAAAGACGTCAACACGAGCGACCGCAAAAATTTCGTGTCAAAATCAAGTTTTCCTTTATTTCATACACATCTGGAGTCTAATTTCAGTTCACATTTTAATAATGTAGCGGCCACAAAATTATCACAAGGCTTGATTGAACGTCCTAACGGCCGTAGCCCGAGGTCGGGTGCACGGGTGGTGTTACGTACGTGGTGCTTAGCGGGTAACAGCCGGCCAGCCGTGACCGCTATCGGCGATGTTGACAGCCGGTGGGACCGGAATGGGGTGACCGCTGACCGCGTTGAACAGTGACCGCTATATACGCGATTCTTAATGCTTACGTCAATGGGAAAAATTCAAGGGACCGGCAAAAACCGACCGCTATGGCCGGGTGACCGCAATGCCAAGGTGACCGCTAGTACAGGTTTGACTGTATTTCTCTTTTTGTGAAAGCAGGGCTCGAAATTAACATTGTCCCAGTGTCAAATGACACTAAATTTTCAGCTTGGGACAATTCAAATTACGATCGATTCGGGACAATTTTGGGGCAATTGGAAAATTCAAGACCATCCACGTCATTTGGGAACGCGATCCATCCATCCTGCTGCAGACTGCTGGCAGCCTATAAATATATAATACTCTGACAAACATTTAAATTTGACCAATCAGGGATTCCAAATATCAGGGACGGTGCCATGCCCATGATATTATCATGTATTTCCCTACATTTACTAATAGAGTGGACTTCAAGTTGTACAAATTCAATTGTTGTTTTCTTATTTTTGTCATCAACTTATTTCCTGAAAAGCAGGCTGGGACAGTCCATCTTCAGTTCGGGACAATTGAAATCTATGTTTGGGACAATTCTGGGACAATAGTGAAAAAAGTTAATTTCGAGGCCTGGAAAGGATACGCTCCGATCAGTTTGGACGACATGGATGTCTTGGCTGCGTTGATGATACACTCCCTCCCTAGCTCATCTGTGCTAATGGTCAGATGGTCCTGGATGTATTTCACTGCTTCCCTGTAAGTACACATTTTCAGCATTTAATCTATGAGTCAGATGTAAAATAATTATGTTTACCGAAGGAAAATATATTGTTTTTGCTCCATTTCTTCTTCCTCTTCTGTTCCAAACACTAACCTCTGACCTGACCAATGGCCTCTTTTGTTGACGTCTGTCACCATAGTATCTGGTGTTGGGTTACATCATGTTGCAATTTCAGAGAAGGCATTTAGGCTCCTGTCACCATATACATGTATGTGCATGTGAATGTGTTAGAGTAAGAATTAACAGAGCAGACCATATCCAAAGGTAAACATTATGCATTTGCTTTGCAAATGTTACTTTCTAGATCATCTTTAAATTTTCATCATGTTAAACTTCACATCACCATAAAACAAGTGCCGTGCAGACTAAATACTGAGTTGAAAATGCTGGTATTTCAGAGCAGCATTCTAACTAGCGTCCGTCTTTCCGTTTGGCGGAATTTTGTCACTTATAATGGACAAAAACTTTGCCCAATCAGTCATCTTTGACAGAGAAAAATCGGCAAGTAAAGATATAGAAAGAGATGTCATTAAACTCAGCTTTGTCTACCAGCAAAATTTGCCCCTAAAATTGCAGAAAAATAGCGTTTTAGACTCTGAGGGTCAAGACTCCAATTCACAATTTTCAAAGGGAACAAGCCTCAGGACCTCTAAGATTGTTGCGAGATGACGGTAAAAATTTCAGGCTAGCTAGAACACTGTTTCGGTGTTTAATAAGCACAATGTTATAGCCAATGTTATAGCCAAAAAACAACGTCAATGACGTTTTCAAAATCATATCCAGTTGCTTGAGTAACTGTTTTTTGGCGTATCGTATTGCCTGGATGTCTAACCTTCATCGACGTACAATGTTATATCATACCCGGGCCGCGATAACGGGTTCCGGACCGGGCCGTACTTTACGGTACGGCCCGGTCCGGGACCCGTTATCGAACGCTTCCATGGCTTCCATAAAACAATTCGAACGCGTTTCGCCCTAACCGCGTGTGCCCCTTTCGAAAATTCAAATACAGAATCCGGACGTTGGAACTGATGTTGTTGCATTTGAGGGTTTAGGGGCACCAACTTTTGGCTCATATTGCATTGAAAGGCGCGTTTTCTTGGGTGGGTATGATATAAATAAAATACAACACGGTGTATTCCGCATCGCCCTCGGTCCTGGCCCTCCCGCGAGTCGGATCGCCCTCCGGCCTGCGGGCGATCCGACCCGCGGTCGGGCCGATACCTCGGGCGATACGGAATACCCCGTGTTGTATTCTATATTTATAGCCTTGACTACTTACTTGCAGGCCAGTCTGTAGCCACTGATTATGGAGGTAGGGTGGATCTTCTGACGGACCAGCTCCTCAGCATTCTTCAACAACTCTGCTGCAATGATCACCTGAAAAACATGGCTACTTGTGACAATGTAGAACTAGAGGCTAATACAGTTGGTACATGCATGTCTTGTCCTTGTAGTTGACATGGTATTATAAGAACGATACTGGGATAAATAATTACCCACTAATTACAGCAAATACTTGTGTGTGTTCATGTTCTTGTGTGTGTTCATGTGTGTGTGTGTGCATGTGTGTGCCAGAGAGGGTTCACATATAACCGCTCTCACCACACAAGAAGTTAAGGAGGAGACTTATTGGAGTCGCCGGATTGTTCGGTGCTGAAGTTTGGAAATAAACCTGTTGGCTTAGGTTGCCTCGTGGGTACAATAAAAAACTTACACTCAATCACTATCTGGTTTAGCGTCTGTTGTTTGTGTACAGAGTGTTGTGTACAGGTTCTTGTTAACCAACGCACAGATGAGTCGTACACAGATTCTTACAAGAGCAGTAGGGTTTTAATGTCACCTCTCCAGGACTCAGGTCTCAGAGTGCCCTGGCCCTGGATTTACATAGACTGTACCACTCCCTCCGAGGGGTGGTAGAGGGTACACTAGTAAGTGGTACACTACACAGAGGTCACTTACCACAGAAGTGGTGCCATCTCCGACCTCCTGGTCCTGTAAGTCTGCCAGCTCACACAGAACCTTGGCGGCGGGATGCTCCACTTCCAGCAGCTTCAGGATGGTCGCTCCATCATTGGTCACTGTCACGTCCTGGGGAAGGGGGAGGGGGGGGCAATCATTTGTGTCACTGGTCACACAACCTAACTCATGGGTTTACAACTTTTATAGCTAAGGCCACACCAATTTAATTTCTTGGTTAACGGATTTTTCTAGAAAAATAATGGAGCGGGCGGGCGAAAAAATAAAAAATAAAAACAGGCCTTGCATCCTATTATGGCCCAAAATGGCATGGTATGATAGGAGCCATGAAGTCAACACACCAGGCTGGTTCAAAATTTAAACAATCAATTTTGAACTTTTAATGATACCATTGCATTGAAAGATGGAATAACTGTAACAACTAGGAAGAAAAGGACTGTTTTTAACTGCCCAGGGCAAAATATGAGCATTTTGAAGTTGATTCTGAATTTTTATTTTTATTTGCAAATCAGAAAAAAATGAAGCGGGCGAATCCGTTAACCAAGAAATTAAATTGGTGTGGCCTAAGCAATTGGCCTATTACTTTATCATGAAACTTGAAAGTTCATCTGAGTTTTTTAGTTACGTGTTTAAACTAAAGTTAAAACTTTTGATGCAACAGTTACACAAAGACATTCTCTCACCTAGAGATTTCGACCAGTCACTCTGGTCTTCCTCAGTAGACTGACCCAGTGAGACTTGTCACGTGGCTTCTTTGAAGTCCACTGAGGGAGACCGGACTGACTGGCCGAAAGCTTTATTTGAGAGAATGTCTTTGTGTTGGATCAAAAGTTATTATGCATTAATTATGCATTAAGGACACATATAAATTATGATAAGGAGCAGGCAGACCCTCATCATGTATGGAGAATGGAATATCTAAGCAAACCATCAGATAGACAGTGTAAAAGAGACAGAATATTACTTACCCCAACATCATCCACCAGCATCTTGTCCAGACCTACTGGTCCCAGAGAGCTCTTCACAATGTTAGCTATGGACGTCGCTGCCATAACTGAAATAAAGGAAAGACAAGGTGTTCACTGTCTTGCTGACTGTATGTGAAGGGCAAATTTGCTACGGTCACTCGATGACCACTGACCAAATGTTTCATATATCATGTAACCTACCATAGAACAATGTTTGAAACAAAATGTTGATAACAAGACATCACACTTTTTGGAAAAAGTTACTGATAACCAGTTCAGCGGCTTCACCCAGTATCTGGAGTACCGTTGCATACTTTTAACATAGTTTGTACAGTTTAAATGTTTAACGTATAAGTATATTTTAAGGACCTGATATGACAGCCTTTGTCCAAAATTTGAAAATGAAAGGCTACGTAAGCATGAATTCGTGTGATTTTGTCCCCATTCAGATTCAACCATTCAGAAGGTTAATTTATTTTGTTTATTTGAACTTGCAACATGGCAATAAGAAGGTTCCACCAAAACATTTCAAGCAGTGATGCCTACAGTATTTTTGGACGGTCCTTTTGTCACAATCGCTTTGCACATGGGGGTGGTAATTTTTTTTTTTTTGTCAGACTCAGAGCTTAAGTTACATGAGTGGTTGCTAGGCATAAAACTCAATTTTACACAAAGGTAACCGTCATATATATGCAAACCAAGATAACGTGACAGGACAGTTGATATTGGGAGAACTAAATTCTACATCTTAGCCACGCTAACAGGATTTTGTTCGTTAGAACAGAGAATTTTTACAACACAAGAGGGGAGGGGGGCGAGAAGGTTCCAGAAACACGTGCTGAAAAGACCGGTCACTAGATATCACTTTTCTCCAAAAAAGAGAGATGGAACGACACCAGATGACCACTTAAACGACGCTAAACAAATCTCTGATTCTATGAGACTCGATAAAGTTGAGAAAAGAGGCCTTACCGTTCTGTGTGCGGATGTTATCTCCAGTGGAGCGCTCTCCCATCACGGTTAGAGCCGACATCTTGGCTGCTTTTCCTGACAGTCACTGGCCCGGAATGCAACGCGCTAGAAACGCCCTCTATCGGCGGCAGCAGGTAACGTAGCTGCAGTACCACAAACAGCCGCCTAGGAGCGCTTTTGACACGCTGCGCAGATCCCGCGCGCAGGAACACACCGCCATATGCTTGGGAGAGAGTTTCGACCAGGAAAATCCTTGCCGTCCTCCGAAGCCTCGTGAAAACAACAATGTCTCGAAGAAGAAGATACAGTGACGATGAAGACGAAGGTACGTTGTGAACTGTCTTTTACCACCATGTTTTCTCATGTTGTTGCAGTTTCAGCTACGCCGTATCCGGGCTTTGTTGCACTATGTATGAATGGTGGGGAGGGGGGCGATCCACCCAAAAGAACATGAAAATACTATGCGTAAAATAATCATTTAGATACACACATATTTGCAGCAAAGTTATGAATATTGGTTGTAATACTATGTGTTGTTGTCTCTTATACGTACACACTGCTCCTCATGTCGGCATATGGTCTCATGTGCTTTTCTTTCTCATGTGCTGTTTCTCAANAATTTTTACAACACAAGAGGGGAGGGGGGCGAGAAGGTTCCAGAAACACGTGCTGAAAAGACCGGTCACTAGATATCACTTTTCTCCAAAAAAGAGAGATGGAACGACACCAGATGACCACTTAAACGAAGCTAAACAGATCTCTGATTCTATGAGACTCGATAAAGTTGAGAAAAGAGGCCTTACCGTTCTGTGTGCGGATGTTATCTCCAGTGGAGCGCTCTCCCATCACGGTTAGAGCCGACATCTTGGCTGCTTTTCCTGACAGTCACTGGCCCGGAATGCAACGCGCTAGAAACGCCCTCTATCGGCGGCAGCAGGTAACGTAGCTGCAGTACCACAAACAGCCGCCTAGGAGCGCTTTTGACACGCTGCGCAGATCCCGCGCGCAGGAACACACCGCCATATGCTTAGGGAGAGAGTTTCGACCAGGAAAATCCTTGCCGTCCTCCGAAGCCTCGTGAAAACAACAATGTCTCGAAGAAGAAGATACAGTGACGATGAAGACGAAGGTACGTTGTGAACTGTCTTTTACCACCATGTTTTCTCATGTTGTTGCAGTTTCAGCTACGCCGTTATCCAGGCTTTGTTGCACTATGTATGAATGGTGGGGAGGGGGGCGATCCACCCAAAAGAACATGAAAATACTATGCGTAAAATAATCATTTAGATACACACATATTTGCAGCAAAGGTATGAATATTGGTTGTAATACTATGTGTTCTTGTCTCTTATACGTACACACCGCTCCTCATGTCGGCATATGGTCTCATGTGCTTTTCTTTCTCATGTGCTGTTTCTCAAGTTTTGTGGGTGTTCTTCTCTTGTTGCTTTGTTCCTACATGTTAAGATACCGTTCTTTTAAATCATGATACAGCAGTCATGATCTCCGTTCATTTGCATTCCTGAAATTTGTCATATTTTAAACACAACATTTGTTTTTGTAAGTCGTAGCACGGTTCTGTACAAGTCCATTTTTGGGTCATTTTCCAATCTCCAAGCAGATGTTGGGGTTAAAGATTGAAATGTTTTCTGAAAGCTGGCCTTCTCTGACAGGATGATCTAATAATGCACTTTTTTGTAATGATACTCAGAATAGTGTGGTCAGGCCCACCATTCATGCAAAATGCTTAAAAATCTGTACGAGCTCCAAGCCTAATCGACAGTTCTTGTGAAATGAAGGCTCTGCCAATGCTACAATGAATTGGGACTTACGGTCACTTACCCCAAATTTTTGTCCTCGGAATGGACCCATCTACTCTTGGAAGATGACATCAGAGATATGTGACCGTAGTAACAGGTCTTATGTCCTACCTGGGCCGCGATTATGTTCGATACGGGTGTTCCGGCCCGTGTGATAACTAGCGGTACGGCCCGGGGGTTCTTAACGCGTACGGCCCGGGGCTTCCAAATGTTCCATAGAACAATTCGAACCAACATGGTTTTAGGAAGAAACATTCGTGTGAGACTCAACTTGTCCAAACCACAAATGACTTAGCCCTTTCCTTAGATTCCAAATCACAAACTGATCTAATCATAACTGATTTCGCCAAAGCCTTCGATAAGGTTCCCCATAACCGTCTTCTCTTAAAACTACATAATTATGGTATCCGAGGCAAACTCCTCCAGTGGATTTCTAACTTCCTAAAAAAACGTAAGCAAAGGGTGGTAGTTGGGGGGGAACATTCAGATTGGGCAGAAGTAGTTTCTGGAGTACCCCAAGGCACCGTACTAGGGCCTTTATTGTTCCTAGTATACATAAATGATCTGGCTGATAACCTTAACTCTAACATCAGGCTTTTCGCCGACGACTGTGTCATTTACAGAGAAATAAATAACGACAATGACCATATCCTACTACAAGATGATATAAACATCTTAGACGCATGGCAGAGCAATTGGCAAATGGAACTACACCCTGATAAGTGCTATGTCATGCGCTACACCCATAAACGCAAAACTAAAGTATTTGACTACAAACTAGGGAGCCATACACTAGCTGAGGCTAATAATCACAAGTACCTAGGGGTTATCTTAAACAACAAACTTTCTTGGACTGAACACATCCATCATATTACTTCCAAAGCAAATAAATCATTAGGTTTTATTAAACGCAATCTCTATAGCTGTCCTAAATCAGTTAAGATGAATGCATACACTAGCTTAGTCAGACCCCATCTTGAATACGCTAGCGCTGCATGGGATCCGTACTACAAGGAACATATTCACAAGATAGAATCGGTCCAGAAAAGAGCGGCCAGATTTGTTTCTAATACCTATGATACTTATGCCAGCACTACCAAATTGGTCACAGATTTAGGGTGGGACACATTAAAGGACAGACGCACAGCAAGCAGACTCACATTACTTCAGAAAGCAAGACACTCAAAAACAGCCCTTCCGGTCAAAACCTTGTTGACACCTATCCCGCGCCAATCGCGACATTTCAACTCCAACTCATACAAACCTCTAACGTTTCACAAAGACTGCTACAAATATTCATATTTTCCACAAACTGTCAGAGATTGGAACATTTTGCCCCAAGAGATATCTGATACTGCGGAACCCACGAAGTTCAACGCTGCAGTACTACAACACCTGAGGAAGCAGCAATAACGCATCGCACAGCTCCCCTGCACGTTTTACCCCAATCTAGGGGTGTTGTGCAGTACCCGAACAAGAACAAGAACGCGTTTCGCCCTAACCGTGTGCAACGCTTTCGAAAATTCGAATGCAAAATTCGGACGTTGGAATTGATGTTGTTGCACTTTTTTTGTTTAGGGACACCAACTTTCTGCTCATTTTGCATAGAAAGGCGTGTTTTCGTGGGTGGGTAGGACATAAATAAAATACAACACGGTGTATTCCGCATCACCCTCGGTCCCAGCCCTCCCGCGGTCGGGCGATCCGACGCGCGGTCGGGCTGGTGCCTCGGGGCTCGGGCGATACGGAATACCCCGTGTTGTATTCTATATATACGTGCCAGATAACTTGTGTCACCCCCCGTCTAACTGGCAGTTCTTGTGTCCACAGGCCGCGGCAACAAACGTCGCCGGACCAGCGAACCGCTGGAGATCGAGGACAGACTGGAGTCCCTCATCACTCGTGTGGGGGAGAAGGTGAGGACATCGGTCAAACACAGAACTAGTGTCGCTACAAGTAATTAAAGTAACGTTCGTTAGTCTTCTTCTTCGTTACTGCCCAGCACTACGTAGTATTATTGGCAGTCGTTACGCATTGTTAGTAACAATTGTGCCCGGTACATAAAAAAAACAAAGGGAAAAACAAGGATAACTGGGAAAGGAACATAAGACAACTGATTTTGTGTGTGCTAAAGACAGGACAAGTGCATAAGTGCGTTAGTAATATTTACATATATACAAGACATGATGGGGTGGCTCAATGCAGCAGGGTCCTCGCCAGTTCAGATTTGAACTGGGCGAGAGACCCCGCCTCCACCGCACCAGGCTCAAGTTCGTTCCATTCCCTGATGGTACGGGGGAAGAACGAGAGCCTGTAAAAGTTGTTTCTGCTCGCGATGGCCTGCAATGTTTGAGTGTGATTGATGCGGCGGGAGCGTCGAGCCACCGGGACAATCCTGGTTGAGTGTGGGACGGAGACAGCATTATGTGGCTAGGGTAATCTCTCAATATGATCATATTGGCACTAGCAAGGGTACCCAAGTAACAGGTTCCTCACTAGCCACCCAGTGCAGAAATCGTTATGTTTGAACACGTTTTTTTTTCCAGAGCACATCATCATTAGAATCTAACCTGGAAGGACTGGCTAGTGTGCTGGAGGCCGACCTGCCAAACTACAAGGCCAAGATCCTCAAGATTCTTGTTGACTGGTAAGTTGTAACTGTGGCTTTTACTCTTAGTTGGAATTACCAAGTTTTACTTTATACTTTTTTGTGTGCTATGTTCATTAGTCGTTGACATTCGTTGTAGCATGTAAAGTTACACTTGTCGTGTAATAAAGTTCTCCTGTGTTTCTCCTGTGTAGTGCCGTACAACTGCCAGAGAAGCTGTCTGTATACACCACACTTGTTGGCCTGCTCAACGCTCGCAACTACAACTTTGGGGGCGAGGTAAGGAGTCAAAAGTTGAATGGTGTTTTGAATTCGGGTAACAGTATGCAAAATACTATTGCTGAGGACAAAACCTACCTTTTCTTGGCAGTTACGATCAGTACATGTGTAAACAAATTGTAGCACATCTGTGTCACTATCTATTTGATTGTTCATTTTCTGGTGTTGGCAGGCCTGCTGTAGCCACAGCTTCAGCGTTAGGGGATGCACCTGCTGCATGTTTAGGAGAGGCAGCATTGGCAGTGGGAACCTTGTTGGACACAGTTGTAGCCATTCTTGGGCTTCCTACTCCAACAGTCCTGACGCCGCTGTCAAATGTCTCAGGTTTCCAGGTGCCTGCAGACTTCTGTGGTGTCCTGACAACTCTCTGTACGTCTCCTACAACATCATTGGGATCCCGTTCTTTATCTGTCAGAGGCTTGTGTCTCCAGACTCTCATGGTGTCGTCATTAGAACATGTTATCAGCTTAGTAAATTCATCCTGACACCACGCCACAGCTGTCACTTCTGCACCGTGACCTGTCAACTTCCATGGGCATGCCTCTGGGTCATTGACCTTCCAAATGTAGGCACTATTATCACTGGAGCCACTGATTAGGTATTCTTCACAAGGGCTCAGGGCACATCTCACATAGAAGCTGGAGCAGGTGTGTCCCCACAGGCTGGGTTTCCATGCTGTGACAGTTGTACATGTAGATTGCACTGTCTGTACTGATACTACTGTGTGTACAACTGGCAAACAGTCTTGTACCTGCTGAATCCACAACTAGGGAGGAGAAACCTCTCTCCTGGACACGCTTTCCTGGACACTGGAAGCTGTGTTTGCACTGGAAGTGGGGGATTGTGCAATGGAGGCCCGTGTAGTTCATCCTCATGTCCCACAGCTTGATGGTACCGTCCATACTGCCTGCTGAGACTATAGTGTTTTCATCCTGGTACACCACACGTCACACCATCATAATAATCATCTTGCTGCCAACGTCATATTCTTGCTGCCAACGTGGTGTGGATGGCATCCGTAGTGTGTGACCATTGCAGATGGAATTCACTGGATTGTAGAACCCATCTCTATGATTGCATCTCCCA